AGACAAGTCTCAACTAGAAGCTGGGTCCAAAGGGTTGGTTGGGTAGAACAGGAAGTGCAGTGAACAATACTAAGATGTCTTCAACTTAGGTATGAGCTGATAACATGAGTTGACTACGAAGACTATGAAACTATCTGGGAAACGAGCGTGCTTATATAGGCTAGGAGATTCGTGCTCTCAAGTGCTCACGACGGAACACCTCGTAGCATTGCTCATGCGGAGACGTCCTGGAGCGTTGCTCATGCGGAGACGTCCTTGAGCATTGTTCCCAAGTGCTCATGGATGAGCACCTCTGAACACTACGTCGGGAGGTACCGACCTTGTAGGTAGTTCAGGGTCCGGTAGGCTTGTCCAAGCCTGTCATAGCTTCTTCGCAGAGCGCCAGGCAATCCCTTAGTGCCTGTCTGTGCTTAGCGTGTTCACGTGCTGTAACATAAAGGTTATTTAAAATATATAATTTAGATAAATATAAAGGCTATTAACAAGGGATATAAGATTTATAATCTTTATTATTCTAATAATTATATAATTAATTTCAAGTTCAGTAATATTATTAAGAAAGTGGCTAAATTAGGTAAGTACTCTAAGTTCTCTCAAAGTAAAGTAGTAGTACTTGATTTTGCGTATTTGCTTTTAGAGCGCTTTTTATAACTAAGGCCCTTTTATATCCTACATCTTAATAACTTCTTTATTACTTATAAGCTCTATTAAAAGCTATATAAGCTTAGTATTAGTGCTAATAGTATAGCAAAAGCAGGGTTAAGGATACTAAAAGAGCTAGTATATCTTAGAAATATAATAATAAAGCAGAATAATTATAAAGAGTAGTTTAATTAGGTTATTAGTAGCATTAACTATATCGTCTTTTGCAATTCAGCTTTAAAGGTAATAATAATTACAATATATAACCCTCTTGTTGATAAATACGTCTATTTTAATGCTATTAAATGCTGTAATACTTCTTTAAAATATGCCAAATTTATAGAATCTCTTGATTTAGCGAATTTAGTAAGTTCTGTAAGTTCTACGCCCTCTGTGCCCTCTGCATCCTTTACGCCCTCTGTACTGCCTACGCCCTTTATGCCCTCTCTAAGACTATTTCTAAGGAAACTATATCCTCTTGATCATTATAATAAAGAGATAGGCGGCTCAGATAATCATGCAAAGCTGAATAGCTATTACATAATAGCTCAACATTACTATAGGCGCAACTAGTTCCCTTTATTCTTCTTCCTTATTAATACAGCTGTTACTAACACTTATATTCTATATAAGCTAGCTAATAAAGGCAAAGAGGATAGAAATAGCAAAAGGATCAAAATACTCTCGCATGCAGAATTTCAAGAAGAAATTGCGAAAAATCTGCTCCGCGGACCTGGAGCTATTCTACGGCAACGACGCCCAAGGCCGCCCCAAAAGAGCTGCGCTCCACATACAAAATTAGTACCAAAAGGCAGCTACAAAGGGCACTCCTGGGTCAAATTGGATAATTATCGCCGCTGCCAGGTCTGTAATCCAGCTACTACGAAACGAGGCAGGCCATTTAATGCCCTCTCTGAGAGGCCTGTCAATGCCCCCCACAGGGCTAGAGGAAGCAGAAAAGGCATTCGACAGTCCATATGGTCCTGTGGCAAATGCAACATCCCTATTTGCTACAAATCGCGTTGTTGGGATAGGCATTTACCACCCTCATAGCAAATATGAGGAGTTTTGCTGTTGTTTGTTGTGATTCCGAATATGGTTAGCTCTTCATAAATAAAGTTTCTATGCAGGCGTCTGATTGGTCTATTTTCAATTAAGGTTACAAGCGCTAAGGACCCCTGGTCCCAATGCGGACCAATTAAATAAATGTCAAATTTTACCGTGGTTTGGTGGATAGCAATTTGGTATGTATAAATAGGCTCTCCTTGCGCGGTCAATTAGATAGAACAACTTGCTATTCAGATTCTATTCTCCTGATTAGTCAGCAACGTCCGACACATTAGCTTACAAAGGGACTTAGTCACGTATCTTTATGTGCTCAAGCGATCTCACGGTTAGACTCGGTCTAGGCGCACATTAATGGCTTTTGCTGTCATCATATTAAGAGTGCCTCTTCCTGTTAAGCACTATCTTTAGGTCTTTTGAAAAGCAATAAAGAGCTCTATGACGAGATCATTTGCATATCTACATCACTGTTCTCTTCGCTTTCCTCTCTTTGGACCAGATTGCTTCTGATGTTTGTGGCTTCCATTTCCTGCGGCACGTGCATCTCCATTCTGCTAGCAGCTCGGCCGCGCATTTCTGCATCCAGATCAAACTCATGTCCTGTGACCTCTGCTCTTCGCTTGGCTCTTTTCCAGGTTGTCATCTTTGCCTCTGCCTGTAGCACTGCCAAGATAAGGTTCTTGACCGACGTGCAAGCGGTTTCAGCAGCCGCTCTGAAGAAAACCTTCACAACATCTGGTAGCTCCTCTTCTGACCTGTACGACTTGTACTCCTCTCCAGGACGCTTGATGTTCGCTTCTTGGTCGCCTATTTCGTCATCTGTTATGGGTCTCTGGAACTCGAGGGAGTGTGTTGTAGAAAGAGCTCTATGTATGGCAGCTTCCTCCAGCTCATGCTCACATTGCATTGATCTCAGCTTGCCAGACGGCTCCAGACTATGGAGCGAGAACATGTCCAGGATGTCCTTGTTCACACTGTCTTCCAAACCTGGTCGGGGTTCCTTGACCCATGTCTTCTGATACCAATTCATATATGAGTCCAACTCTTGCTGGCTCATTTTGAAGACGTCTGTATCGCGAACGTCAATCTCGCTTCCCCATACCAGACGAGTCCCCGGAGGTTCTTTTGCCAGATCTTGCCGACGTCGCTTCCAGGATATCCAATCCATCTGATGAGTCGCAGGCTCGTGAAGGGATTGGGGGCGACGTTGTGCGTCATCAACTGGGTAGAAGAGCTTGACCGCAACCACGAGCAGTGACATTAACTCTACTTCCGGAAAAGCTGAGCCTTGCTCTCTTCGAATCTCTTTTGTAATTGAGTAGCGAAAGTCTGAGCGAGTTAGTTGTGCCAATCCCTGAACTGCTGGAAAGATCTCGAGTGGAAGAGCGAGATAGGTAATATATCTGTAAAGTAATATTTCGTAGTTCAGTGGTGGTAGAAGTAACCCGAACGCTCGGTAATACAAGTTTCCTAGGTCTGAGACTGCACCGTGCAAGTCCTGCGGCTGGAGCATTACCTGGTGGCAGGTATTAGTAGACTCTTCTGAGTAATTACATAGCCTTACTGTTGTATCAAGGGCTTTGTGATATTCTCCTGGAAGCTTCTCCTGTATATCGATGGGAACTCCTCGAATCGCTCGGATGTAAAGAATATGCTCTTCTTTAGCCCATCTTTAACAATCAGCAAAGTCTTCATCGTGAGTTTGGGACTCACCGGTAGAGATCCTGAAGCCTAACAGGCAGACGCAGTAACAAAATGCCCATATAGCATAACGCTAGAGTCTCAATGAGCTTTGGAGAACCAATAACTCTCTTCGACACCCTCCTAGTATGGTCTTCGTCTCTTTCCTCACCGGAGGAAAGTATTTGGCTTTCAGAACCAACTCGATCTGGTGACTCTAGCCTGTGGAGTAGCTTTGACAGCCTGAGCGTCCACAAGTCTCTGATAATCGTCTGAATGTGGTTAGCCGTCTATCCAATCAGAAGTGAAGAACGACCAACCCATAGCTCTGGTGGTAAATCCTTTTCATGAATCAGAATGTAGCATTGCTTCCACAAGATGAATTGGTATGCCTGAACGAACAGGCGGAACGCTCGTGGACCCCTGTAAACTTCTGAGAGTGAACCAAGGGTTCAACATCATAACGGTTCTGATGCACGCTCACCTTTTTGTGTCTTCTCCCTGATTCGCTCTACCTTCTTCCGTACAATCCTGCCTTGGGTACCCCAGTCGGCTTCATCCTCACCAACGATTTGGCCCTCCTACGGTCTGGTCATTACATGGTTCACGGCAGCATCTGCAATGCATGGCAAGGCAAAAGGAGTGCTGCATACTCCTTGATCATGACCGTTCTCACAAAATTTGACAGCATTGACAAAAGTAAGGGTCGTTGAGCCGCATTGTTCACATGGTTCACCTTCAACAAACTCCATCAAGCATCACTACTCATGTTATCTCTGATGCAAAATTTATACGCACGTGAGAAAACGCACTGGTGGAAAACCTGGGTTGTGATGAAAATCAGGGGGCGGTCATGTTCTAGCAGACGGGATTTGCTACGGGAGTTGATCCTAAGATTGGCTATGCACTAATCTACACGCGAACAAATCCACCAGAACAGCAGCTCACGGTCCAGACTTAACAAGACTGTCATTTTATGACCTTGTACCGGCTCCAGACCTGCTTTTGAGATGACCAAGAGCTGTGCTTCAGAAACATATTTCAGCCCTTGACAACAGAAATCATGGTCACGTGCTGGTGGAGAGGTGGAACCTAATTGGAATACTTGCAAGTGACTTGAAATCCAGCAGCTCAAACAAGTGCTGTTGATAGTTCATTCAACCCTGGGGAGCCTCTTTGGCCTCTGTGGCAACCTGCATGCCCATAGAGGTCAAGATGACAACGTCTGCCCTCATGTTAATGTGGCACTTCGCAGAGGAACAGGACCGAGACTCACTAGTATCTTTGCCCTGGTCGATGAAAAGCTTTGTGATCTTGTCTTTGACTTCACCATCTTTGAGCTCGATATCATCCTTCGTGTTGCCAGCTTCATCCATGAGAGAAAGGAAGTTATCTCTAGAAATATCAAGCTGGGAATCGCTGTTAGCAATTCTACTCAAACTACAAATGTGAATAATGTTCTTACCAGTGTATATTCCTTCCGGGTGACCTCTGGAACCTTCATGGGGTGGGTAGATGGAGATAGTTCATCGTACTTCTTGCCAGTGAAGATGTCAATACCGGTCAAATGGACCTTTGCGTGACCGTGTTTTCCCGTCTTGGAAGTAGACATCTCGACAATTTTGCAAGGACGATCCTCTTTACCCATACAAACATAACCGTTCTTTCTCAATGCTGAGCATTGTGTAGGGGTGGTGTCAGAGGCACCGGCACTGACGCTTTCAAAAGTGTGCTCATGCTATATAGCGCAGCAGTCAGCAACAAGTTCATAAGTGCAGATACGAACGGTGACAGGGCTGTGAGGGGCAAATTGAATGGTTCTCACCTGCGCATCATCCGCCATGATGCTGGAGCAGATGGAAAGGTAATTGAAGAAATAGTGACAGAGAAGTGTGTATACAAGAAAGAGGAGTGAGTGTCAGAATATACGTGTTGAGCAACACTCTTGTGCGATGGACGGGAAAGGTCGAAAAATAAACGTTGCAGGCAGATGCAGATGGAAAGATGAGAAAGTGGGGGAATCCAACTTTCACGCTACTGTACTGGTAAGTTAGTACGGAGTGGTGCACCAAAAGTCGTCAATGTACGCTAATATTAGAGCGCCACTAGCACAATCGATCTAAGCTTTAACGTCACGTAAAATATGTGCCATGAAGGTGGAGCCCTAGAGCTGCTGCTATCTGCCCCTTTTTCTAGAGGCTCCTAGAGCCCTATTTGGCGGGGCTTACAGGCCTGTGTCAGTTAAGCTTTAGCCATCCGGTCCCTCCGACTATCAGACTCCCTGACTGACTACTGACAGATACTAGTACGAGAGAGGCTAGCTTTTACTTATCCTTGTTAGCGCATAGTGATGACTTTTGGTGCATGATTCCGTATTTTGAAGTAGGAATAAGTACGTAGTATTCCTTGGCGTTTCGTTACAGAGTCCACATTGCCAGTGCAGCGCAGATCACGAATGGTGGTCAAGTCTGGTGAGGACCATTTCAAAATGTCATCCAAATAACGGAAAATTGAGGCGCGATGTGGCTGGATCATTCCTCTGGCCACTTGACACCTAGTGGATCACCTCCACCTCAGAATAGGAATCATTCCCCTGCTCCTAAACGGAGTTTGCATCTCGCTCCTAGCCGAAGATCTGGACTGGGACTGATTGCAGGCAGTTCCTCGTTATCGCTTGGCTTCAGCTCGAATGGCTCAAACGTCTCTTTACCAAGGACATCGCGTATGTCCAACGGGCCTTCTCTACACCAAGAGCATAAGCCCTCTCCTAATATGCCAGATCCGTTGAATCTCCTACGAAGCATACTCGGCATCTCTTCCACCAAGAAAGGGGTACAGGACGGAAACGAGGAGCAAAGTTTAACAAGAAAACCGGAAGATTTCAAAATAGACATTGACTTTGGGAACCTCAGTCTCGAAGATTATGCCGAAGAAGAGGAGGCAGAAATCAAATTAGTGTCCACTCTTGGCCATCTGGAGCATAGCTCTGCTGATGAACTTGAGAGGTATAAAGGCCTTCATGATGCGATTGAAGACTGCGACAAAGTCTTGAAGTCTGTCGAGTCATATCTGACCAATTTTCAGAATGAGTTGGGGACTGTGTCAGCTGAGATTGAGAGTCTTCAAACCAGGTCAACACAACTCAATGCCAAGCTCGAAAATAGGAGGAAGGTTGAAAAACTGCTTGGACCTGCAGTGGAAGAGATCAGCATTTCACCACTTACAGTTCGAACTATATCCGAAAGCCCTGTAGATGATAACTGGATCCGAGCTCTTAAAGAGCTGGAGTCTCGGTCAACCACGATAGCGAAGAAAACGTCTGGCTCTGTCAAGGCCATTGAGGACGTCATACCGCTTCTAGACAACCTCAAAGCGAAGGCTGTGGAGCGAATACGCGACTTTATTGTCGCCCAAATCAAAGCATTGAGATCACCCAACATCAATGCACAGATCATACAACAACAAACACTTATCAAGTACAAAGACTTGTACTCGTTTTTGGCGAGACATAGCTCTGTTCTAGCTGAAGAAATCGGCCAAGCATATATCAACACAATGAAGTGGTACTACACCAGCAATTTCACACGCTACCAACAAGCGTTGGAAAAGCTCTCGGTTCATATAATTGATCAAAGTGAAGTCCTTGGATCAGAATCCTCATCAGCACGCCGCAATTTACTCGCGTCTCCCAAGGGTCCTCCTCCCCAGCACGACGCTTTTAATCTAGGCAGAAGACCAGATATTCTCAGAACAAAAGCTAGCAATGCAATAGCAGCGTGTCTTACCGACGAGGACAAGACTCGCTGCTACTTAGAAACGCCGTTCTACAACTTCAACCTTGCATTGATTGACAATGTGTGCTCAGAGTACTCCGTGTTCACAGAATTGTTCTCTATGAAGAGTTATCACCAGGTGTCTCGCAAAGTGACTGAAATCTTCGAGCCATCGTTCGCACTCGGGCATGGAATGACCAAGCAGCTCATTGAGAACAACACAGATTGTTTCGGTGTTTTGCTTTGCGTCCGGATCAATCAATACTTTGCGTTCGAGTTACAAAGACGCAAGGTTCCCCTAGCAGACTCATACATCAACGGCATGAACATGCTTCTGTGGCCACGCTTTCAGATAATCATGGATCAGCATTGCGAGTCACTGAAGAAAGTGATCTCCCCCAACAATCGAGGCGCAGTCGCGGCATTCTCCCTGGTCGGGAATGATGCTTCGAAGACGTCTGTGGCACCTCATCCAGTGACTCAAAAGTTTGGACAATTTCTGCATGGCATACTTGCGCTCAGTAGTGATGCAAGCGATAATGAGCCTGTATCCAATAGTCTGGGAAGATTGAGGAGTGAATATGAGGCTTTGATGACCAGGCTGGCAAAGGGGGCTGGAGACGCGTCCAAGAGGAGTCGATTTTTGTACTATAATTACAGTCTTGTATTGACGATAATCAGTGATACCCAGGGAAAGCTCGCGGAGGAGCAGAAGGCGCATTTTGACCAATTGGTGAACCAGGGAAAGGATCGAAGATAGACAACTTATTTCATGATTAGAATGAACGTTGGTGTCACTCTGCCCCGGTTTAAAATCTTCCTTTCCCCATGAACTGATTCAATATCTCCCGTTACCGGGACAGGTGGCTCCGGTTTGAATTAAACGGTGGGATCACGCCCCTGTAGGCCTTAGGCTCACCCTCAAGCCATGAAGACGAGCCATAAGAAGTATCCCTCGGAATACAGATAGAATAAGACTAGATCGTGCGCTGATGGTCATCAAGGCTACGAACGAACTTTGGTCTTCTTCTGGGTTTCCATTCACGTCACCGCATCGACACACTTCTGGTTGTTGAAAACTGTAGATAAGGATACTTAGGGATCGAAGTCGCGAGCTTCAGATCGACGTCACTTGATAGCTTTGCCAGCCTTGTATTCTCTTTCACAGAGCTCTCAACCAAAATGTGACCCAGCGAGGAGGCCCTGGAGGCTTGAGGCAGTATGTCTATGAAATTACTTCCAGTTTCCTGTGCTAGAAGAGCTGCGGCACGCTACTTCTCAACTTCGAGATCCAGGCAAGCAGATTTTACACATGCGGTACCAAGACCTGTCTTCATTTCCATGCGTTTCATATCCACCACCCGACTGACTTCTATCCTCTATACAGGTGATTGGTGCGGGAGCCGTAGGTCTTGCAATTGCTCGGCGGCTTGCTGCACAAGAAGGCACTTCAACCATTCTCATTGAGCGACATGGCTCTGTTGGGACGGAGACAAGCAGTAGGAACTCGGAGGTGAGTAGCAGGCTCGATGGTGCGGATCGCTCATATCTGATAATATGTTCTTGCAGGTCATACATGCTGGTCTCTATTATGGCCATGGATCACTCAAGACCAAGTTGTGCCTCAAAGGCAAGAATATGATGTACGAGCTCTGTTCGAAGCAAGGCATACCTCATCGAAATACCAAGAAATGGATCATCGCGCAAGACGACCAGCAGATGAGCGAACTACACAGAGTTCATGAATTCGCAACCTCAATTGACGTTCCCACGAGATTCCTTACCCGAGAGTACATCACCCAACGCGAACCTGATGTCCGAGCCGAGGCCGGTGTGCTCGAAAGCGAGTCAACAGGAATCGTCGACAGTCATTCCTTCATGTCGTACCTTGAAGGCGATTTCCTAGAAAAAGGTGGTGATTGCGCTTTTCATACCGCGGTCACAAGGATAGAGCCGATAGACAGCGGAAAGGGGGGTTACAAGATCTACACAGGGAATGCGGATGGCGGTGAAGACTCTATAGAAGTTGAAACCCTTATCAACAGTGCTGGACTTTTTGCATGCGCTATCAATAATATGGTGTTGCCAAAGGAACGACATCGAAAAGCATACTATGCAAAGGGAAGCTACTATTCATACTCGGCAAGTCATCCAAAACCGAAGACGTTGTTATATCCTGCTCCTGTCCCTGGATTTGGTGGTCTTGGAACCCATCTCACCCTGGACATGACTGGACGCGTACGATTCGGTCCAGATGTTGAATGGATAGATGACCCAAACGACCTGAAACCAAATCCGAGTCGCCTCACAGAAGCCATTGATATGATACAGACATATCTTCCTTCCGTAAAGCGAGATGCAATTGACCTAGATTACTGTGGCATAAGGCCGAAAATTGGAAAGTCAGGTGCCACCGCTGGCAAGAATTTTCAAGACTTCATCATCCAGGAAGAGGATGGTTTTCCCGGATTCATCAATCTTCTGGCCATCGAAAGTCCGGGACTAACAAGCAGTTTGGCCATTGGTGAGATGGTGGAAGATTTACTGTACAGATAAGCCTACATATTTTTCCAGCTAAGATTTCCTCACACTACGACATCTGTTATATCCAGCAAGTGTCCGAGAGCAGCCTCAAGAGGTTTAATGAGACCTTCGAGTCATTCTGTTTGTCGTTCCTTATTCTGCTAGGAGAGCCGTTTGGATTTGACGATCACGATTGGGCTGTGTATGTCTCAAAATAGTAAGAGTTTCCGCATCTGGACTACAAAGCGTACTTGTAGCGTTCTGCTCAATCGACAAAGGTTTGCCAGAAGACGAAGTGGTCCGATTGATGGCGATACGATGGCTGTTCCCACGTTATCGTCTTTTTACTGCCTTCCCTTCACAGTGCTGCCATGTCAGATTCCTTCTTTTCTCATTCTCCTATTTCTTCGTCCGTGCCCGTTACATTCTTCGGACCAAGAAGATTATCCGAGATCAGGAATGACGCTTTAGGTAAGAGAAAAAGGAACCAGAAAGGCAGACAGGTGATCCTTTACGAACCCGACAGAGAACTGCCACCTCGGAAACGTCGTCGGGTTCAGCCACCTGAGGATTGCCACTGCAATTGGCATCCATATTCGGCATCATCCTCCGTCCGACCACCGGCAGCTCAACCGTGGCATCAGAACGACCGTTTCGTGCGCCACCTCCCAACGGCTGAACTCGCCGCTCTTGTTGACCCACCTTCTCCTGAAACAATCCCAAGCCTGCACCACCGCCTCCTCTTCACCAACCTAAACAATCCTATCCATCCCCTCTTCCGGGCCCTTACAGGTCTAGCCATTACTCTTCCCTATCTTGCAACCTCTCTTCGCCTCGCAACAAAATTCCTCATCTCCCCTCATACCTTACCATTCTTCCATACCCTTATCACGACCCCTCTAACTCTCTTGCAGGCAGAATCCTACATCTTCAACGCACCCGTAACATGGCTTTCAGAATCCTCATTTGCCGGTCCGCCAGGAACAGGCTTGCCACCAGCGGAGTACCAATTGACGATGGAGACTTTAGTGACGCTAACAGATCACATCAGTATCCAGATCAGTCCGGATCCACGACTGGCAACCAGGTGGGCGTATACAGAACGGCACACCCCGCCACAACACCGCACGTCGGGACAAACGGCAGGGGACTTGAGACAATCCAGCAGTAGGAACGCAGACACGATTTGGAACAGAGGTATCAGTAAACCTTCCTCATGGCATGCCAAAGCAAGACTGCCCCAGCTCCTTCCCACCCCCGCGCACCTCCACCCACCACATCCACAAGCACATCCACAACCACATCCACAACCACATCCACAACCACATCCACAACCACATCCACAACCACATCCACAACCACATCCACAACCACATCCACATCCACACAACCACATCCACAACCACATCCACAACCACATCCACAACCACATCCACAACCACATCCACAACCACATCCACAACCACATCCACAACCACATCCACAACCACATCCACAACCACATCCACAACCACATCCACAACCACATCCACAACCACATCCACAACCACATCCACAACCACAAGCCTTCACTTCCCCTTCCTCCAACAGCAACAGGAATCACAATGCCACTTGCAATTCGAAAGACACTGATAAAAAGCAGCAACACCTCCGCGCCCTCAATTTCCGCGGCACGCACGCGCTCATCAACATCTCCCCACTCTTCCTCCGCATGACGCATCCGCATTTCACCCATTCACCCCGACCACAGCCAGAATCGCAAACCAGCACGCGAGGACCAGGCAAAGAAGGTAAGCAAGAGACGACGACGACGACGACAAGATGCGAAGAAATAAGCGACGCGCAGAGGGAACGCGCCATCTTCTTCCTCGCCGTCACGCTCGTGCACGAACTCGCCCACGCCGTCTTCATGACCCGATTCCCCGTCCTCTCCCAGAGTAACACGCAGACCGCCTCGACGACCGGGCCCGGTCACGCAGGAGAGGACGATGCGGCGGCGGCGGGCCACGCGTGGGAAACCGGCGTCTTCGCTGGTGGGAAGATCTTGGCACTGGCTCAGGATGATTGGTTCGGTCTGGGGCTGGGGTGGATGAGGTGGCCGGGGGCGGATTCTTTCTTTGTGCGCGATCGGCGGGGGGGCGTGAGGGCTTTCTGTCGGCTGGGAACGCGAGGGAGAAGAGGTGGTGGTGATGCTTCGGAGAGGGGGAGAGGGAGAGGGAGAGCGAGGGCCAGAAGTAGCAGGAACGAAGAGAAGATTCTCGGCCCACTCAAGTACGAGACGGTCTACCCGCTCGATTGGAGATATATACGCCGTTTTTTTCTCGGGGAGTTTTGGGATGGTGTTGTGCATGGCACCAACGCAGCTTCTGGCGATGATGTGGCCATGGATATAGATGCGATAGGTAGAGGTCCGGGTGTGGGTGTGGGTATGGGTGTGCAAGCCTTCACTCCACCAAAGACGCTGGGTTCCCGGGTCAGGAATTACGACTGGATCGGCCATCGCTACTCACGCCCTGCTGGCCGCACTGATAACGACACCGGCACGGAGCCCGAGGACGGTGAGGATGACGGCTACAGCAGCACCTGCAGCAGCCTTACCCGCGGCCATGATGTCCATGGCGTAGTGAGGGAGGGGCAGGTTTGGATCGCTAGCGATGACGATGACGATGAGGACGAGGACGAGGACGAGGATGAATACTGACAGAAACAAAGAGCCCGCTCGATTAAACTAGAGATAAAAATTAATGGGAATGGGAATGGGAAAAAACAGATATCGAGATGAACATCGAGAAGAGCGCCACTGTAATTAATCATGACCAAACGAAGCCCGAACCACCAAAGAGATTGCCGGCGGCCGATCCTGCAGTTAAAATTCCCATGAACTGAACCGGAAACGGCCCCGATCAGCTCAGCTCAGCGTCTGAAGAAGCCTGCACGTCACGTCACAGTCACAGTCACCAGTGATAGGGGGAGGAGGAGGAGGAGGGAGAGAGTGTGTATGGCTACACAGCTCAATTCGTTCCCGGTACGGAGTAGGAATACCGCGTTTCGCCTTTCTCGCGCACCTCCGCAGGGCTGGGTCGTGCACAACTGAAAGAAAGAACTTGAAGTGCTCAGTTGGCTTGGGCTTGGGCTTGGGCTTGGGCTTGGGCTTGGGCTTGGGCTTGGGCTTGGGCTTGGGCTTGGGCTTGGGCTTGGGCTTGGGCTTGGGCTTGGGCTTGGGCTTGGGCTTGGGCTTGGGCTTGGGCTTGGGCTTGGGCTTGGGCTTGGGCTTGGGCTTGGGCTTGGGCTTGGGCTTGGGCTTGGGCTTGGGCTTGGGCTTGGGCTTGGGCTTGGGCTTGGGCTTGGGCTTGGGCTTGGGCTTGGGCTTGGGCTTGGGCTTGGGCTTGGGCTTGGGCTTGGGCTTGGGCTTGGGCTTGGGCTTGGGCTTGGGCTTGGGCTTGGGCTTGGGCTTGGGCTTGGGCTTGGGCTTGGGCTTGGGCTTGGGCTTGGGCTTGGGCTTGGGCTTGGGCTTGGGCTTGGGCTTGGGCTTGGGCTTGGGCTTGGGCTTGGGCTTGGGCTTGGGCTTGGGCTTGGGCTTGGGCTTGGGCTTGGGCTTGGGCTTGGGCTTGGGCTTGGGCTTGGAATGGCGCGAAAGCGGCTCTTCCTGGGTCGAGGGAGGTCTAGACGTTATTAGACGGGTGTAATAGGTGTATCGTAGCGTAAGGACGGGCTTAGGAACCGTGTCTGTGTCTCAGGCATGTTTGGTGCTGGAGGAGAAGGATTTGGGTTGGGGGCGGGGGGTTTCTGTAGATATGGTCATGTCTTGCTGTAGCACAGGATAAAAGAGGTTGGTCGAGACGGTAAGAGAAAGCGAGAAAGTGTCTGCGTGTTCTAAGTAAAAAGGGGTAATGAGAAAAGTCTATGTACTGGATAGATGATGGAAAACGCGTCTTTTTCGACCCTCTAGAAGTGCCCTCTAACAATAGACTCTTTGCACTGTCAACCCCATCTACCAGTTACCGCTGTGGGCAATGGCCTGGGTTTGAGACCTTTTGCTGGACATCATTATTTACCCGCTGCCCACATCCAAATGACAGTGACATCCGTTCTCGTCGGTGCACCAAAATCCTGGTAGTCCAATACAACATCATCCGTTCAAGGTCGCTTGGAGAATACGAGAGGGCAATCATCCTACGCATGTCAGTCAGCACTATCGACCAACTAGTATCCAAGTTCGCCAGACTTACCTGAGGGAAGATGGTTGCAAACACTTTAATATCCTCAGAGAGTGGTGTGGCATGATGTACCCAATCCAGATGCATACTTGCCTTGCCGATCATAGCCATCAGATTTAGCATTGCATAAATCTGGCCCAGGCAGTAATGAGGCCCTGTCCCGAACACAAGCCAATTCTTGGATTGCTTTTCCGCATCACCAGTGATCCATCTCTCGGGGTCGAACGAGTCTGGATTTGGGTATGCCTCAGGATCATGGGTGGCTGGCCATACCGACGGGACAACCATTGACCCCTTCTTCAAAATGTAGTTGTCGGTAATGGGAAAGTCCCTCTTCACTTCATACGGTACCATGATGACTGGCGGCCGGTATCGTAGTGTCTCCTTGACGAATGCTCGTGTGTACACCATCGATTCGAGCAGATCCATGCTGAACGGTACGTCCTTGTCTCCACCCCTCACCCTCAGGTTCTCCTCCCTCACTTTGTCAAGCAGATCTGGTCGATCGGCCAGGATTTGGAACAGCCACGTGGACGCGCTGCTGGTAGCATCTTGTGATGCGAACAGGAAGGTGAACAACGTCATAGCAATCTCAAAGTCAGAGAATTCTCGCAGTAACATCGCCGGCTTGCCCGCATCCTCGACCTTGACACCTTTTGCAATCCTCTCACGGTATTGGGCTGAGTCGTGCATTGATTTGATCCAGGCATCCATGATGCAGGTAACATCGCCTCCGGCAGCAATTCGGACCTTCGACTTCGCCGCGCATTTGGCGAACTCGTCCAGGACCATATCCGCAGCCTTCTTTCCATACCAAGTCTTTGTGAACGGGATGATCATGGGGAAATTGACCAGCTCGAGCGCCGCAGTGATCAGGTAGTAATCATCGGCGATCTTCTTGACAACACGATCCGACATGTAATGTCCGACAAACGTTCGACATGAGACAGCGCACATCAATTCACGGAACACCGGCATCCATGGAATTGCTTTGCCATTGTTCTCTTCGGAAATTTCCAGAAACCTTGCAAAGTATTTGTTGTAGACTTCCTCTTGTCCCGGCAGGTACATCTCGAGCGCCTGTCGCGTGAATAGACCGTTGAGACCTTTTCGATATTCCACATGCGCCTTTCCATCGAGAAAAACCCAGTTGTTAGGGCGTAAGAGTTTGTGTGCCACATCAACCACGCAGGGTTTGACGTATTGGGGCGAGTTGAAGACCTTGCGGGCCATATCTCGGGTCGAGGCAATAACGACGAATCTGCAGACCCATGAGCGATGTTGTACTATCCTTCAGCGTCAGGCGTACTTGTGAAAGACCGACACGCAGCTTAAGGTACCGCTGGCCCATTTTGCTTTGTATTCAAGGAAATTAGGATAGACGGATTCGAGGAACGGGCCCATAAAAGGTATTTTCCATGCTGGGCCGATGAGAGAACCCTTCTGCCATTTATAGCTGACTGCACGGGATGATTAGCATTCGCCGGGAACGGGGGCCAGAAATGAGGGGGGAAGTATCTCACATTGATCATATGCGATGAGAGTTAGGAGGAGGGTGAGCACAGCATTCCATCCACTGACACCATTGTAGACACTGGATAATAAGCCAGCACTGTCCACGTCGCGATGAATACGTAGGTTGGCATTTGCGAGAGGGGATGTGAAACTGCCATTGAGGCCGGTGTCCATGTTGGAAGTTTGCGGCTACCCAAGGGGCCAAAGTTGGGCTGTCAAATCGGAATGCCGTGCCTGACGGGGACGAGCCTCAAGCTTTTTGGTGGCACAAAATTCAAGCAGGTCAGAGGTGAGACGATACGATACGCAGGGCCAACGAATGACTTTCACGAAGGAAAAGAGATTTATTCTTCAGGAGGATCAGCGTCACGCCTCGACCCTTTAGGAAAGAATACTTCACCACAGGAGGAGCGCTGAATTTGGGGTGTGGAAATGGTAGAATTAACTTAGTCAGTTCTTAATTGTGTGCTCTTACATGTAACGCCATGTCGGAAGCCAGTGCTCCGATGGTGCAACGCTCCAATGCTCCGATCATCCAGAGCGACCAACGGAACACTACTAACTACTAGTACTGGACAAGTCACCCTCCCTGTCACTCTGAGCAGGCTGAATATCAATTCATAACACATTAGAGGTGGTGCAGGCGGGAGATTGTTTGTCACAGCTGAAGCGGAGGACAGAGATACAGTTTTACCAGAAATAGGAGCTCTCTATACGGTCATGGTACAATATACATCAGCTGTCATCGCTTTTCAACAGAGCCATTATGAAACCATTCTCCATGAACAATTCCATCGTGTTGGTGCTAGGAGAATGACCACACCATGCAACATCACTCACTAGCTAATTGTCATCTATGGACCGGGTGCTGCATCAGCCCCTTCATGGGATATCGAATAGCGGCTTCAACTTTCGTATTAGCTGCCATTCATCTGTACTGACGTCCGCCCGATAGAACTCCTTCAGCGTGTCTATGGAATTCCGCGAGATGAGCGAGTACAGGATGTCAGACTCTTCGAGCTGCCGACCATACAGCGGCTGGTTGGGTCCTTCGATCTTGATTGCAACTGATGGCTGACCCTTCTTGACAAGAGGAATGTGCTTGTGATCCCTTTCAATGGATGTCCTGCACGATGATTAGCCTTCTTGACGGGAGACACAAACGCACGGGAGGGTACTGACACTCTACCAAGGTGTATGACCTCTTTCACATTTGTCACAGGGTTGGTCTTCACAGCCGCAATAGGGGTTGTAAGTCTCAAGTTGCCATCCGTAACATCCACACCAATCACGATCGGGTCCTTCTTGTTGAAGACTTTGATGGGGGTGAGCACGCAGGGGAACACCGCCAGAAGCTTGTTCTCCTCCTTCTTCTGCTCGGCCAATGCTGCCATATGCTTCGTGAAATCATCGAACAAGTGATAGATGATATCAGCAGTGAAGATCTTGACTCCCACCTCATCTGCATACGCTTGAGCATCTTTGTCGACCTTGACATCGAAGCACAGCATCACAGCGTATTGTTTCGCCTTCTCCAACATTGTTCCAGCCATCAGGACATCTCGTTTGTACACGGGCCCAATCGAGATGTTGGCCACAGGAATCTTTGAGACTTTGAGAAATTCAAGCAAGGCCTCCAGTGAACCCAAAGTAGAAGCCTGCACGCTGACACCTCTCGAATCTTTGGACACTTTGTTGAGCAGCTGGGCCAAGTCACCCATCACTTCGTCTTCGAGGTCCTCTTCATCGTCCTCCGGGCCAACAACTAGCAGACGCGACCCTGCAATTGCGCCTTCAAGGTCATTTGCGGCAATCTTGACACCCAACGACGCCTTGGCTTCCTTGTTGTGAACATATGCCGACTTCAGTCTTAATTCTTTGAGAGGGGCGGGTGTAAGAAGAGCACGGATGTTGGTTGTGATGGCACCGTTCAGACCGCACAACACGATTCGATCACCTTCCCGAAGCACCCCGTTCGAAAGGATAACATCGATTGTAGTCCCAAGCCCCTCTATAACCTTGACTTCAAGTACCGTACACTCGACTTCCGAGAGGTACATGAGTTTGTTGGTCATGCGTTCTTGTGTAAGGGTGATAAGAAGTTTGAGCATGTCCGGGATGCCCTCGCCAGTATGTGCGGAGGTTGGCACCAGAGACACGTTTTTGGCCATGGATTTGTTCTCCGAAAAGAGTTCCGAGTTGAAGCCTTGCTCGGCAAAAGCGACCTTCGTCTTGTCCAACCTGTCCCTGAATTCACTCTGCACACCCTTGTTTTGCATTGCCAGACTGTCCAGAAAGCCATTGTTGTCGATCTTTTTCCAACCATACAACCGATCGATTTTGTTCAACGCCACAATAAAAGGTGTCTTGCGGTCCCTCAGCAGCCTCATGGACTCCAAAGTTTGTGGCTCTAGACCGTGCATGATATCAACCACGAGGATGGCAATGTTGCAGAGCGAAGATCCCCGCGATCGCAGATTCGAAAAAGATTCGTGACCTGGTGTATCAATAACCAGAAGACCTGGCACTTTGAAGTCGAAATTGCCATCTTTATTGACAGCGGCAATCTTCTCCTGCAAAGCCGACGTTGGAAAATAGGTAGCGCCGATCTGTTGAGTGATACCACCTGCTTCGCCTTCTTGTACGTTAGTCTGTCGGATCTTGTCCAGCAATTTTGTTTTCCCAGTATCGACATGGCCAAGAATACAGCAAATTGGAGACCTGAGGTTGTCTGCCGATCGGGCTGCCAATGCTTCTTCGTGCGCCTTTTGTCTTCGGGCCGCTGCTTCGGCCTTCTTTTGAGCGGCTGCCTTCTGCGCTGTGGTGCCCTCCTCTCCCGAAGAAGACTCCTCATCAGAGTCCGACTCTGCATATCCATCTTTATTTTGAGGCTTTGATGCCCGTACGGGAATATTGGCTGTGGGCTTGCCATTGATGACGGAGCCTGCTTGCTTCGCTCCATTGGTAACTCGTGGAGATTGTGATGTCGCCTCGTCGCCCGACTCAGCGTCCCAACTGTCCTTCACATCTTCTGCATCTGCTGCCTGCTCCCAGTCCTCCAAACCGTCGCTTTCGTGTGGCGCTGCTGCCTCAATAGCTTCGGCTTCGGCTTTGGCCTTTGCTACCGCTTCAGCAAGTCTCTTTCGCTCCTGTTCTGCTTCTTCGGCTTGTAACCTGGCACGTTCTGCAGCAGCTTCAAGATCGTCCTCTTGCTTCTTGGGAACCTTCTTCTTCTTGTCTGGGGCAGATTTCTTGCGCTCCGCTGCAACGTCTGCATCACCCTTCAGGCCCTCGACTTTGACACCAGCATCAAGCATTTGCTTCATTCGATGATCTTGCTGAGCTCTCCGTTTCTTCTCAGCTTCGGACATGAACTTTCCTTCTTTCTTTAGCTGCTCCTTCTTCTCCTTTTCTTTCTCCTTCTTACGAGCTCGAGCTTCTTCCTTGCGCTTCTCCTCTTCAGCCTCCCTGCGCTGCCGTTCCTCCTCTGCCGCCCTCGCCTCAGCATCAAGCTTGGCTTGCTCTTCTCGCAGTTTTTGGAGAGCCTCTTGTTGTTTCTGGATAGCGGCTAAATGTGCCGGAAGCTTCTTTTTCTTGCCAGTCGCATCAGCAGCTTGTGGCGCTTCTGCCTTGACCTCTGGCGTAGGTTTGGCTGGTTCGACTTTCGCAGCAGGTGTTGGCGCAGTAGCTTTCTTCTTAGCAGCCTATATAGAAAGGTCAATATCATACTAAGCCTCAAGCAGTCACAGTAGCTCACCTGCTCCTTCTTCCGCTGCTTCTCCCTCTCCTTCTTCTCCTTTTCTTTCTCCTTCTTTGACTTCAGGCTACCATCTTCGTTCCTCTCACCATCATCAGCAGCAGCAGCATCTTCAGCAGCCTTCTCAGCAGCCTTTTGCACGGCTTTGCCCTTCTTGGCCGTGCTGGCAAATAGATCATCACGTTCCAAGTTCGCCTCTTCTGGTGCTTTGTCCTTAAGAATTGAGTCTCCCGCAGCTTCGTCGGTGGCAGGTGCATCTTCTCCCTCCAGGAAGTCATCAACAGGTTTGCCCTTCTTTGCACGTTTGTTTTTGTTCTTCTTTAACGCGGCGAGCAACCCGCCTCCGCCATTCGCCGCTTCAGCGTCGCCGTTGACATCTTCTGAGGTAATATTGGTGGCCTCGGGTGGGGCATCTGGAGATTCACCGAGTTCAGCCTCCCAGTCATCAGCTTGTGTTTTGCCGCCCTTCTTCTTGGGCGCCATGTTCTATCTTCGTTTATCGATTTACGGTAGGCAGCTGAGCAGAATATCGTTCCCGATTCGCAGGAGGCGACATGTAATCTGCTGTTATAGGACAGATGAAAAGCGTGTGTCCTGCTTGAGACCGTGATTGAGCTACACCTGGGACTCGGAGCTGATTGAATGTGATGTAGAACCAGTAGAATACGGTAGAACGCTGTGTTTGTCAGTTGTAGGGCAATAGATCATGTTTTGAGAACAATCGGCAGTTCCTCGGAGGCACTTAGTAGAACTTTAAAAGCTACGACGTACAAGGATTGTGTCCTGATGATAACCATTGTATACCCTTGCCCCAGAAAGGAAGCTTTCATCCCATTATTTCTGTCAGTGTGTCTGTGGCCGGCCATGCCTATACCAATGGCAAGTTGGGAAACAGTGCTCTCCATTTGGTTCAAGCGGGCCACTTTCTTCCCACTAATTAGTTACAAAACACAGCGTCGCACATTACACAATACTCTACTATCTACTCTGTACCTAACCGTGGAAACATCGCCTCACCGCCCACCACCATTTGTGTGATGTGATGATCGTTTCAACCTGTCTGAAAAGCCGTATGCCGCAATCAGATGCGCATTGAGTGCCAAATATTCCACCTGCTGATGGATACCGAGGTCCTGTCTGATGGATAGATGCTGAGAAGCAATACCGAGTTACGATGTATTGCTCACTAATCTTTGCATCCATTGTGAAGCAGCGAGCACAGGGTCTTCGCTTGCGCCGAAGAGAGGCTCACCAAGTGCAGAGAGCTCACGGAACTTTTGATCTGGAGAGAGCGACTCTTGTCCTTGCAATCTTGCGCGAGGAGGCTCCTCCAGGAGATGGCGCAGCTTACAGGGACCACTGTGCAGCAGGTCAGCGATGTGGTCGCCATTGATGTGCATATCTGGTGGCCGGGGTTTCTTCCGCTCTTTGCGCTGAGTGCTTGAGCTTTTGCGCTTGACTTTCGACTCGACGGCGGGTTTTTTCCATGTGAGACCTGCGATGAAGTTCAGAAATTCCCACTCCCGCCGACTTAAGACAGTGAACTGATACAGAGCCCCATCCTGCGTGCTACCATAGTACCTTTGGCCAGTCGTAGTGATTGAGCCACCCTTTCCATGTTCTCTCAAACAGTTGATTGGGACTGGGAATCTTGCATCAAAAAGCAACGAAAATCCATCTTGCTCTTGCTTCGAATAGCCAAGAACCCTACCACCCTTATTGCTAGCAACCGCCAGCAAACCTCCCTCGTCCGTGCCAACAAAATGAGTGGCATCTCTGATAGCATCTCTAGTTTTGGTCTCTTGAGCTCGTAATTTGAGTTCGCCACCTTGAACCTCAAATACTTTGAGTGAATGCCGTGCAGTGGTTGCATAGATGAAGTGGTCGGACACGTAGAGAGACACCGCTGGTGATGGTAGCGCATAACGCGTGGAACGACTCCAATTCCTGGTCACAAGGTCCAGGCTTTGCAGGAAGAGGTCTGTGCCAGCACAGACAACAAGCGATGATTGACCGTAAAGAGCGAGCGAGTAAACGGGAGCTCCGACGAGTCTGATTGAACGCTTGATTTCAATATCTAGGTCTCCGTTCTGTTGACCATCTTTTGCCACTGTCAGGTAGACGATACGTCCGTCGCAATGTGCCGTATCGGCACCATCAATACAAAGGCCAACCACAATCATCTCTACGTTCTTTTCGTCATGAACTGCTGTCCAGCTTATCAGAGAAGTGATCCGAGACCCTGCCTGGCCCAGGAGCACAACCTGCCCCTGAGGAGAACTCGAGCCACGACGGTCTGGATCTAGGAGTTGAATTCCGGGGCGAATGATGCGTCTAGCCGGCCGATCAGGAGCGCGATCTGCGATCAACTTGGTTTGAGTTATGGCAACGGCGAGTTTGTTCAATCCCTTGACGTGGACCATTTTGTGCGGATCACCAGACAGCAACATCCTTTGTGGCACGATGCTTGATTCTAAAGATAGCGATGAGACAAGGAGATCATCCCTAGTAACGCAAACGAGCGTGGCCTCCAGATGATTCATTCCGGAGTACGGGTGTCTGTAGAGTGCAGCAACAGCGCTGATCTCTGGCTGACCAAATTCTGGCTAGAGCGCAGGTCAGCAGAGACTTCGATTGATAATGGAAGACAGACCTGAGCAACATCAGTGAACCAAATTCTTAAGACTTTAAAGGTGGCAGCCCCGGCCGATCGCGTATAACACAGTCGATGGACATCAGAGCCGCAGACGAGTACAGCAGCAGATGCATCTTCTGGGTCGGAAGTCAGCTGAACCGAGGTTTGACCCATGTGCTGAGCACTTTCTGCTTGCAATGTAAGAAAGTTAGGCAGATCTGGCGGTCTACCTAATACAATGCTGGGCGATTGCCTATTTTCCTGAGGATCATTTATAAGACTTGGCGTGATAGTCATGTTCAACAGCCAGCCGTTTCTTGTGCCACAAGCCAGTGCTGGTGGTCCTAGAGCTGGGTCCGTAAGCAAGACCAGACTGCATATCGCGGACGCTTCGACATGAGAGAAGAGTGTACTGATTGGGTTCCGCAATATGTGGCGCAATCCCTGGCCATGTTCGATTGCTAAAATGTGTACTGATCCAACGATAGTGCCAATGATGAGGAGCCGAGCTCCGCCAAAGTTAGCCAAGAGGATGCTGCTTGGTTCTTCCATGATAGAATAAGCCGTCGAGCAACCATTGATGCTAATACTAGTATCATCGACATCGATGGAGGTGAGTTGAACCTTGAAGATATCGTTTGCCATTGTGGCTGTCGCGATCAGCATGTTATCCAGGCTTATGCTAGCAATAGACACGCGACCATCCGCGTGCTCCCTAGCAACCGAACTTACCTTGGGCAATGCAGACAGAACTGTCGTTGCCAGAGGAGTCACCTGCACGATAAGACTTTCTTTGCTGACCGCAAAGGCCAGGGTTTGACAGTTCAACTGCAGGCCCTGACATGCTAAGCCTTCGTCTGCTGTTTCTAGTGCTGCTTTTTGGAGATTGATGCACACGGCCAAGGTGTGCAAAGGGTAGGAAACCAGCATCGTAAGGTGGTCGAAGTTAATCTCTGGTAGAACCCAGAGTCCAGTAACCGCGAAAGAATCTTCCTGTTCCACAAGCAAACTGATTCTGGCTTCCAGACCACGGCGAATCTCAGCTACAGCGGCATGACCCTCGCCTTTGCCAGCACATACGAAGATCTGATGTGCATCTTCATCGCGGCTTTTCGGATGAAGGATCAACATGTCCCGTAGTGGTGCAAGGTTTGTAATGGTCTGAAATTGATCCAGGGGCATTCTCGCCATCATATGGCAAACAGCACCATCAGTCATGTCTCCACCGGCCACGCACATGTCACCACCATGACCTGGGTGCGACTCAATGATGGCAAATGCTGAATCAACGGAAATTTTGATGGACCCAATCTCACCTCCATTTTGAACTTTCGATGGTGTATTGTGCATGATTTCGAAGTATTCTAGTCGCCCGTCCTCTCGAACCAGATAGAAATCGTCGTGGGTCTTTAGGTATTCTGAGTGACGACATGGCTTCGCCCATTGAACCCACAGTGGACTTCGGCGAGAGCTCACAAAGTTTGAAGGAAATGTCTGAGGAATCTCAACGTGAATCTTTCGATAATCAGACGAAAGCACATCATCGTAAACCGTTAAGCCGGACTCAGTGACAAGAGTGAATGAAGCGTTATGGTTGGAAGGAATCATCAGTAACGGCATTCTGTCCTTGTCTGGAAGCCTGTGAGGGCCACAATTCTCCAGCTTGGCCGTCGTCAAAGGGGCCTTTTCTCCCCATGAGTATAGGTATACATATGTAGCCTCATTCTTGGAGATCAGTAGTGCAAGGACGGTCTTTGGTTGCACAGTGGACGAGCAAAGAAGGAACTCCACCCTTAAGATCAAGCCATCTACTTGTACAAAGCGTTGCTGCAGAAATTAGTCACAATCAACAGCAGAGGAAGGTGATTCTCACCTCTTTCAGAGGTGTGAAGACTTCCGTTCTATTAGTGTCATACGCTGAGATCTCCTCGCGAAGCTCAGAAAATGTCTTTAGGCGTATGATGCCTAACTGACCGCATGCTGGTGATACTGCAAGGGTACACGATCTAATGCCATCAATTTCTTCCCGAGTATCATGGAAACAGGATTCTTGTATTTGCTTACTTGGAATCGACAGCCAAGTGCTTGCCATATTGTCCTAGACAAGACACATCTGCAGGAAGCTTCCATTTACCTACTCTGAATCTAATCCGGTTGTGCGCGATATCTTCCGCGTACACAAAAGCAATCTCACAGCAGTCCAAGGTCAACACCAAAATTTGGGACGGTAGGCCTAGCTTCGAATCATCTCCATCGCGCTCCTCTTGCTTGACGACTTGCTCGATAAATGGAGTGGCATCGACATATGAGATAATTCTTGCCGCTAGAATGCGACAGCCCATGTCCAGCCTGTCCGGCAAGGTGGCTAGATGACGTGCTGGAAGGAATTCTCGGAGCTGGATAAAGCTCTCGCTGATGAAGATGACATCGTTATGAATTGGGTTCCGGATGCGGGCTGGCAGTATCCACCTTATCGTTGTGCTTGGAATGATGGTTTGTGAAAGAACTCCAAAAGCTCGGTCATCCAGCATTGGTGGTGGATTGCCAATATCTTGTGTAGTATCCTGGACCGGTCTTCTAGCGACGGGTCCGTTGTTCTGATGCACTATAGTGCCGCTCGCCATCAGAGGATGATCTTCGAATGCTTGGTTAAATAACTCCTCTGCACCAAACTTTTCTGCTGCTAATGAGGAGATATGAGAGAAATCGGATCCGCAATTACTCCCCCACCGTGGAAAGGATGATTAGGCAAAGTCGCTATCGGCAAGGCCTAGTAAAGCAATGACTAGAATGGAGATCGAGACGTGAGACAAGCATGGGACAGCTGAGGAACATCGGTGGAGATGGCTCGCAGGTAATCTCTGTGTACACCTTTTCAAATATCTTCAATCAGTAGTCATGCAGGTTTGGTGCTCGTGCTCGGCACAACAGCCAAAATCCGATGCAGGGACACATGCTTCACCGACAAGTATCGGCTGGGAATACTATGAGGGGAATCGGAGGAGGAGGAGGATCATCAGAGGTAGTGCCTTCGAGTTTGCTTGGAGCGGGAGGGACAAATATGTCAAACTATGTTCCTGGGTCTCATTGGCCTGTATGACAACCTTCCAGGGGAGGATGATGGAAGATTGAAAGCGACAATCTGCAAGTCGCCATGATTGTCTGCTGGACTGAGGTGAGGATGTTGAGGTGCCCAATTGGCGACGATGTAGCCTAGAACACGCGTCGCGTCCAGGACTCGGACTGGCTGATCCAGCTGGTTGAGTGCGGGCAACGTTCCTGGCTAGTTGGCAAGGGATTCATAATCTCTCCTGAACTTTATTTTCAAAATGTTTGCTACCTGCTCCATGACTCGAGCAAATGTGATACGATATGTCGTCCGTGGCTGGCATTATTGGCGTCTCGTGATCATCCTGGGAGTCGGGATTGGACTTGACTTTGCTTGTGCGACCAGCACCCATGCTGCAGAAAGGAACAAATTCAAGAAGAATGACTTGAGCAACCCCGGCTTTTCGGTCATCGTATGCCTAGAACAACCCCAAACGTGGTGGACATATCTGTGCAACACCAGATTTGAATAATCCACTGTGCATCATCTACCAGCCACGAACCCACCAGCAATAATTCCAGCGCGGCCGAGTCGCCCTCCACTTGTCATGGGCTGCAATGAGCGGGACGGTTGACAAGACGGCTGGGCCAACCTCCAGGAGTTCAGGACAGGGCTCTTCACAGATTGAGCACTCGGCAGATGCGCCAAGTCGCGAGACCGAATCAAAACATGTATCCATCACACGAGCATGTGAGGAAAGCAACATTGACAGCCTCATTCGGCTGGCTACATCAGACGGTGGTCTCATAAACGACGAATTACGGCGCAAAGCATGTGAGTAGGGTGCTCATATCTTGTCTTATACTCGCAGAATGTAACAGACTGCATAGGGCCATTGCTCATCGGAAGCGAGGCTGGGGTGGTGGAGGAGCCAGAAATCAACCTATCAGCATGGAAAGAACTGCCTCCACATCGAGACGAAGACCAGGTGCAGCTCGATGTCAACCGAGCTTTTGTGTATTATCCTCATGGTGTGTTTGATTCAGTCTGGATAATGAGTACTGCCGTGCTGTACGCTTACCTCGCTGCTAGGTGAATCCGAAAAGAAAATCGAGGGCCGTAAATCGAGTCTCTCGGACGTTATCGTTCAGGTTCTGAGAGAGCATCCGATGCTGTGCTATTTCCAAGGCTACCATGATATAGTACAGGTTCTACTTCTGGTACTTGGCGATCAGCTTGTGCCAGCAGCCGTAGCTAGGATATCCTTATTACGAATCCGCGACTACATGCTTCCATCTCTCACACCCTCTTTACGACATCTCCAATTCATCCCTATTCTACTTGGGTCAGCAGACCCAGAGCTAGGAAGGCGTCTTTCGCGCACCCAGCCATTCTTTGCTCTGGCTGCAACATTGACGCTTTATGCACATGACATTCAGGAGTACAGCGATATTGCACGGCTGTACGATTTCATTCTGTCTCACGAGCCGGTTGTAGCAATCTACATGTTCACCGCAATCGTCATGTCGCGCCGCGAAGAGCTGCTAGAAATACCAATCGAGGAGCCCGAAATGCTACACTTTACCTTGTCGAAGTTGCCGCAGCCATTGGATTTGGAATCACTCATCTCTAAAACAATGCAGCTCTTCAACACCCACCCACCAGAGAAATTGCCTAATCTGATATGGTGGAGAATACCATCGAACAGTGTTCTCAAGACTTCTCGGAATCTCAAGGAAAGGCAATCAGTCAAGAAAGGAGAGGAGCTCTTTGCGCGCCAGGCAGCCCAGCTGAGGAGAGAAGAGCTGCTGCAAAAGGCATCGAAGATGATGTGGAAGTACCGGAGACCAGCAACGTCGATAACGTTGACTGTGTTCGCAGGAGTCATGTCATTCTGGCTGGCAAGAAATGGATATGATAGAACACTTTGGGCGTATCTTGTCCGGCTCAGAGGCGCCTTCCCATTCAGAAGATAGACGGGGCACGGAAAGAGGCATATCCATATATCATCAAGCACTTATTCTGCTTTGGAGTTGAAGAAGAGTCTATAAATTCGCTGTTTACCAATATCGTCCCCTTGACATCTGCAACAGTACTGTATCGTGGTCAACCCTGGATTGCTACGTGCAGTGTGAAGGCTATGTATGAGTGGTGACTGGCAATGGACCGGGTGCGTGGCAGTAGAACAAGTGCCACGTACAGCATCCTACCAACCACATCTACCATCACTCTTGAAGCCCAAGCCAGGCCTAGAAGACCCAGTAGGCCGCACCTCACCTTCAAAATGGCCAATAGAGGTTACGATGTTGTCGTGGACGTCGACACAGAGGTGAACAATACAGCCACCTGTGACATCTACACAAGCTAACACCAAAACAACAGGACCTGGGTAACACCGATCTCCAAGAAGACAATCTAGAATTCCACTCCTCAAGTGCGCGCCTCAATCAGCCTCCATAATCTAACCCCCCAAACTGACCAAGCAAACCTCGATCCCATTCTAGACTTCGACACCCGCACCAACTCCAAAATCCAACCGGACAGCACCCCCTTCCTCTCCAGCTCCACCAACCCGCTCAACCTCCCCAACAACAACAACAATAACAACATCTCCCCCCACCCTCCTTCCTCAACCTCGAAACGCTACCTCTGGACCCTCGCCTTCTACGCCCAATTCTTCGACGTCGACACCACCACCGTGCTCCGCCGCTGCCGCGCCGCCCTGCTCCCTTTCCTCCCCCGCGCGCCGCCCTTCCTCGACGTCCTGGACGGCAACGCCGACCTCTACGGCCCCTTCTGGATCGCCACCACCGTCGTCGTCATCCTCTTCCTCACCGGAACCATATCGCAATATCTGGCCCGACAGGATAAAGCGCATTTCACGTACGACTTCAA